TAAAATGGTAGCATCGTTCCATTTAATGCGATGATCATAAGTCCATGCATGGTGAGCTACTGCAGACTTATCCAGTTACCTTTCTCGCAGTTCGTCTTATGTTCTTTAAGACGTATTGAGAGATTTCTACCGGTCTCTCCAATGTAAACCAAACCACATTCACATGGAATGCGGTACACACCAGGTTTCTGTTGTTCATCGACGCCATCCTTGTGTGTGTAAAGAGCGCGAAACAATTTGTTATTGCTAGAATGGTAAACTTGTATTCCAACTTCTTTTAAAATCCTAACGATTTTATATGAAGCTGGGCCAATATATGGTAAACAGACAGAGGATAGATATTCCGTGTCTTGCCTCTGTCTTTGCTGTTCATTCATAGCATGTTCTATGAATTTCTTAGGATAACCATTCATGTGCAGAACATCCTTCAAATGCTTTAACTCTGAGTCAATGCTATTTGAATCACAAATTGTTTTGGCACGGTTGATTAATGTTTTGCATACTGATCTTTTAATGCTAGGATGGTGAAATGAACTATAATTCAGATATCTGTCAGTGTGTGTTGGTTTTCTATAAACTTTATGGCCCAAAGTCCCGTTCTCTTTTACATCAAATAAGATATCTAAGAAAGATATAGAGTTATCTTTCTGTATTTCTAATGTGAATTTAATTGAAGGGTGTATACTATTAATGTGATCTAAAAATTTATTCAAATTTTCTAAACCATGCGACCAACTACTTAATGTGTCATCTACATATCTAAACCAGAAACCAGGTTTTAAACATGCTGTAGCTATAGCTTTCTTTTCAAATTCTTCCATGAATAAATTAGCCATAACTGGTGATAAGGGACTACCCATAGGAGCACCATGAGTTTGCTCGTAGTATTTCTCCCGCCACTGAAAACTAGTTGTATTCAGGCACAATTTCAGTAGTTCATATATACTCTCAGGAGAAAGGCTAGTCCTTTTAGAGAGGGTATCATCTGAAAGCAGCCTGTCTTTCGCAATGTTACACGCCTCATCTACTGGTACATTAGTAAATAAACTAACTACGTCGAAACTGACAAGAATTTCATTTTTACCTAATCTAACATCTTGCATATTCGTAACAAATTCTTTAGAATTAACTACATGATGTTCAGTTTGACCAACAACTGGTTTTAAAATTCTAGCAAGATATTTAGCTAAATTATAAGTCGGTGAACCTTGGGATGCAACTATAGGCCTAAGAGGTACACCTGATTTATGTATTTTGGGTAAACCATAAAATTTTGGGCACAACACTACATGAAGGTCTCAAATAATCATGAAGGTTTTGAGACAAAATACCTGATTTCCTAAGTTCAGATAGTTTAGAACATACTTTACGTTCAATATTGGCTGTAGGATCACGTTTTAGCTCTTTATATGTTGGAGTTTCAAGAAGAGCATGGATTTTACTTTCGTACTCTGCACGATTTAATAAAACCGTAGCATTACCCTTATCAGCCTTTAAAATATGTATAGACTTATCTGCCCTTAGGTTCCTCACTGCATCCTTCTGCTCCTTGGAAAGATTAGACTTGGGTAAAGTTGTACGTCGCAAGACCTCAGTTACTTTAACACGAATGTTGGATGCTATATCATCTCTGAGATGATTCAACTTTGGTTCCAGATGTTGAACGATTTCTTCTTTAGGAATCTTGTGTGGTACAACAGCGAAATTTAAACCCAATGCCAAGACTTCTTCTTCAACCGGCATAAGTTTAAAATCGTTAGGATTTTAAAAGAAGTTGGAATACAAGTTTACCATTCTAGCAATAACAAATTGTTTCGCGCTCTTTACACACACAAGGATGGCGTCGATGAACAACAGAAACCTGGTGTGTACCGCATTCCATGTGAATGTGGTTTGGTTTACATTGGAGAGACCGGTAGAAATCTCTCAATACGTCTTAAAGAACATAAGACGAACTGCGAGAAAGGTAAACTGGATAAGTCTGCAGTAGCTCACCATGCATGGACTTATGATCATCGCATTAAATGGAACGATGCTACCTTTTTAGCAAACGATAAGTTTACTGTCTCTCGTAAAATGAGAGAATCTATTGAAATTTATAAACATCAAACTATCGTCCAAGAGGGAAAGCCACTTAATAGTACGTGGCGTGCTCTTTTCGGTGTCTCTTAGTCAAATACTTGTCTAGGGCGCGCGCATTAATTAGAACTTAATTAAATGAAACCGTTTAATTAATAGCGCGAGCAAACTAATCACGACTAACATGATATTTAAGTGACGCGCAAACGTGTATTCAAGTAATTGCACTGATGAAGGTCCGGGTTAACGGACCGAAAGCTTTGCAGTATTTAATACTTACGTGGTGTACCTACAAGTTATTATAATTACTAAAGTCGCCATGCAATCATACAAGAAAATTATTACAGAACTCTATGGAGAGTATTTTCATAAATCATTTAAACGACTTGACCGGCTTTCACAACAACGCTCAAGATTAATCAACAACTTAACCTTCCTGAAAAGGTGTCGAGACAACGAAGTTGTTCCGAAAGGTTTGCGTATGTTTAATTGTTTCCATACTAAGCATGCAGGCAAAATCTTGAAGAAAGCCGAGTTGGCACTGTTACGAGAAAGAATTGCTTGGACGCGTAAACAACTAAGCGGAGTGGATGACAACATCGCTACTCTTACAGAAGAACTTTGGTTAACTTTTGAAGAAGAACATTTTGCTGTTGCAAAAAGAATGATAGATGCTTCTTTTACGCGTACCTTTAATAAAGCTCGCTCAACACAGATCGCCAAATACACAAGATTGACGTCCGAAAGATCAAAAGATAAAAGAAGACAAGAAGATTTGGCTGTTGACACTCTAAGACGCACTGTTGTTAACCAAAGTGCGCGAAAACTTATGCCGGTTGAAGAAGAAGTCTTGGCATTGGGTTTAAATTTCGCTGTTGTACCACACAAGATTCCTAAAGAAGAAATCGTTCAACATCTGGAACCAAAGTTGAATCATCTCAGAGATGATATAGCATCCAACATTCGTGTTAAAGTAACTGAGGTCTTGCGACGTACAACTTTACCCAAGTCTAATCTTTCCAAGGAGCAGAAGGATGCAGTGAGGAACCTAAGGGCAGATAAGTCTATACATATTTTAAAGGCTGATAAGGGTAATGCTACGGTTTTATTAAATCGTGCAGAGTACGAAAGTAAAATCCATGCTCTTCTTGAAACTCCAACATATAAAGAGCTAAAACGTGATCCTACAGCCAATATTGAACGTAAAGTATGTTCTAAACTATCTGAACTTAGGAAATCAGGTATTTTGTCTCAAAACCTTCATGATTATTTGAGACCTTCATGTAGTGTGTGCCCAAAATTTTATGGTTTACCCAAAATACATAAATCAGGTGTACCTCTTAGGCCTATAGTTGCATCCCAAGGTTCACCGACTTATAATTTAGCTAAATATCTTGCTAGAATTTTAAAACCAGTTGTTGGTCAAACTGAACATCATGTAGTTAATTCTAAAGAATTTGTTACGAATATGCAAGATGTTAGATTAGGTAAAAATGAAATTCTTGTCAGTTTCGACGTAGTTAGTATTTACTAATGTACCAGTAGATGAGGCGTGTAACATTGCGAAAGACAGGCTGCTTTCAGATGATACCCTCTCTAAAAGGACTAGCCTTTCTCCTGAGAGTATATATGAACTACTGAAATTGTGCCTGAATACAACTAGTTTTCAGTGGCGGGAGAAATACTACGAGCAAACTCATGGTGCTCCTATGGGTAGTCCCTTATCACCAGTTATGGCTAATTTATTCATGGAAGAATTTGAAAAGAAAGCTATAGCTACAGCATGTTTAAAACCTGGTTTCTGGTTTAGATATGTAGATGACACATTAAGTAGTTGGTCGCATGGTTTAGAAAATTTGAATAAATTTTTAGATCACATTAATAGTATACACCCTTCAATTAAATTCACATTAGAAATACAGAAAGATAACTCTATATCTTTCTTAGATATCTTATTTGATGTAAAAGAGAACGGGACTTTGGGCCATAAAGTTTATAGAAAACCAACACACACTGACAGATATCTGAATTATAGTTCATTTCACCATCCTAGCATTAAAAGATCAGTATGCAAAACATTAATCAACCGTGCCAAAACAATTTGTGATTCAAATAGCATTGACTCAGAGTTAAAGCATTTGAAGATGTTTCTGCACATGAATGGTTATCCTAAGAAATTCATAGAACATGCTATGAATGAACAGCAAAGACAGAGGCAAGACACGGAATATCTATCCTCTGTCTGTTTACCATATATTGGCCCAGCTTCATATAAAATCGTTAGGATTTTAAAAGAAGTTGGAATACAAGTTTACCATTCTAGCAATAACAAATTGTTTCGCGCTCTTTACACACACAAGGATGGCGTCGATGAACAACAGAAACCTGGTGTGTACCGCATTCCATGTGAATGTGGTTTGGTTTACATTGGAGAGACCGGTAGAAATCTCTCAATACGTCTTAAAGAACATAAGACGAACTGCGAGAAAGGTAAACTGGATAAGTCTGCAGTAGCTCACCATGCATGGACTTATGATCATCGCATTAAATGGAACGATGCTACCTTTTAGCAAACGATAAGTTTACTGTCTCTCGTAAAATGAGAGAATCTATTGAAATTTATAAACATCAAACTATCGTCCAAGAGGGAAAGCCACTTAATAGTACGTGGCGTGCTCTTTTCGGTGTCTCTTAGTCAAATACTTGTCTAGGGCGCGCGCATTAATTAGAACTTAATTAAATGAAACCGTTTAATTAATAGCGCGAGCAAACTAATCACGACTAACATGATATTTAAGTGACGCGCAAACGTGTATTCAAGTAATTGCACTGATGAAGGTCCGGGTTAACGGACCGAAAGCTTTGCAGTATTTAATACTTACGTGGTGTACCTACAAGTTATTATAATTACTAAAGTCGCCATGCAATCATACAAGAAAATTATTACAGAACTCTATGGAGAGTATTTTCATAAATCATTTAAACGACTTGACCGGCTTTCACAACAACGCTCAAGATTAATCAACAACTTAACCTTCCTGAAAAGGTGTCGAGACAACGAAGTTGTTCCGAAAGGTTTGCGTATGTTTAATTGTTTCCATACTAAGCATGCAGGCAAAATCTTGAAGAAAGCCGAGTTGGCACTGTTACGAGAAAGAATTGCTTGGACGCGTAAACAACTAAGCGGAGTGGATGACAACATCGCTACTCTTACAGAAGAACTTTGGTTAACTTTTGAAGAAGAACATTTTGCTGTTGCAAAAAGAATGATAGATGCTTCTTTTACGCGTACCTTTAATAAAGCTCGCTCAACACAGATCGCCAAATACACAAGATTGACGTCCGAAAGATCAAAAGATAAAAGAAGACAAGAAGATTTGGCTGTTGACACTCTAAGACGCACTGTTGTTAACCAAAGTGCGCGAAAACTTATGCCGGTTGAAGAAGAAGTCTTGGCATTGGGTTTAAATTTCGCTGTTGTACCACACAAGATTCCTAAAGAAGAAATCGTTCAACATCTGGAACCAAAGTTGAATCATCTCAGAGATGATATAGCATCCAACATTCGTGTTAAAGTAACTGAGGTCTTGCGACGTACAACTTTACCCAAGTCTAATCTTTCCAAGGAGCAGAAGGATGCAGTGAGGAACCTAAGGGCAGATAAGTCTATACATATTTTAAAGGCTGATAAGGGTAATGCTACGGTTTTATTAAATCGTGCAGAGTACGAAAGTAAAATCCATGCTCTTCTTGAAACTCCAACATATAAAGAGCTAAAACGTGATCCTACAGCCAATATTGAACGTAAAGTATGTTCTAAACTATCTGAACTTAGGAAATCAGGTATTTTGTCTCAAAACCTTCATGATTATTTGAGACCTTCATGTAGTGTGTGCCCAAAATTTTATGGTTTACCCAAAATACATAAATCAGGTGTACCTCTTAGGCCTATAGTTGCATCCCAAGGTTCACCGACTTATAATTTAGCTAAATATCTTGCTAGAATTTTAAAACCAGTTGTTGGTCAAACTGAACATCATGTAGTTAATTCTAAAGAATTTGTTACGAATATGCAAGATGTTAGATTAGGTAAAAATGAAATTCTTGTCAGTTTCGACGTAGTTAGTTTATTTACTAATGTACCAGTAGATGAGGCGTGTAACATTGCGAAAGACAGGCTGCTTTCAGATGATACCCTCTCTAAAAGGACTAGCCTTTCTCCTGAGAGTATATATGAACTACTGAAATTGTGCCTGAATACAACTAGTTTTCAGTGGCGGGAGAAATACTACGAGCAAACTCATGGTGCTCCTATGGGTAGTCCCTTATCACCAGTTATGGCTAATTTATTCATGGAAGAATTTGAAAAGAAAGCTATAGCTACAGCATGTTTAAAACCTGGTTTCTGGTTTAGATATGTAGATGACACATTAAGTAGTTGGTCGCATGGTTTAGAAAATTTGAATAAATTTTTAGATCACATTAATAGTATACACCCTTCAATTAAATTCACATTAGAAATACAGAAAGATAACTCTATATCTTTCTTAGATATCTTATTTGATGTAAAAGAGAACGGGACTTTGGGCCATAAAGTTTATAGAAAACCAACACACACTGACAGATATCTGAATTATAGTTCATTTCACCATCCTAGCATTAAAAGATCAGTATGCAAAACATTAATCAACCGTGCCAAAACAATTTGTGATTCAAATAGCATTGACTCAGAGTTAAAGCATTTGAAGGATGTTCTGCACATGAATGGTTATCCTAAGAAATTCATAGAACATGCTATGAATGAACAGCAAAGACAGAGGCAAGACACGGAATATCTATCCTCTGTCTGTTTACCATATATTGGCCCAGCTTCATATAAAATCGTTAGGATTTTAAAAGAAGTTGGAATACAAGTTTACCATTCTAGCAATAACAAATTGTTTCGCGCTCTTTACACACACAAGGATGGCGTCGATGAACAACAGAAACCTGGTGTGTACCGCATTCCATGTGAATGTGGTTTGGTTTACATTGGAGAGACCGGTAGAAATCTCTCAATACGTCTTAAAGAACATAAGACGAACTGCGAGAAAGGTAAACTGGATAAGTCTGCAGTAGCTCACCATGCATGGACTTATGATCATCGCATTAAATGGAACGATGCTACCTTTTTAGCAAACGATAAGTTTACTGTCTCTCGTAAAATGAGAGAATCTATTGAAATTTATAAACATCAAACTATCGTCCAAGAGGGAAAGCCACTTAATAGTACGTGGCGTGCTCTTTTCGGTGTCTTTTAGTCAAATACTTGTCTAGGGCGCGCGCATTAATTAGAACTTAATTAAATGAAACCGTTTAATTAATAGCGCGAGCAAACTAATCACGACTAACATGATATTTAAGTGACGCGCAAACGTGTATTCAAGTAATTGCACTGATGAAGGTCCGGGTTAACGGACCGAAAGCTTTGCAGTATTTAATACTTACGTGGTGTACCTACAAGTTATTATAATTAAGTATTCACTTGTTCGTTAGGCAGCACTATGGTGACATGGCCCCTTATGATACAGTGCTGTATGGGCCTTCCACATCAAACCACGCAATGTTTCTTTATATCTGAACAAAATATCCAAACCCCTGGTCAAATGAAATGCTGACAACAAGTGAGACATGTAAATGATAACGTTTTATAAGACACAGTTGCACTGTGGAAGCAGTTTAACTTCTTTGAAAAATTTATCAATTTCCACATAAAATATTGTTTGTTTAACTTCTTAGCTAGGACTCTTTACCCAACAATAATATTTTAAGCATTCTGTATTAGAACATTATTAAAACATTTTGCTTAAATGCATATTGCATAGTGGGGTATTCTTTAGTTATTCTACTTTTCTTGAACAAAATATGAATATACCTTTCAGTCAGAAAACTATTTACACAACTGCTGATATTCTTAGTTCAAAAGTTTAAAATATTGTCAGCTCTTAACTATCACAGCAACCAAGAGAAGTTAAAAAGGATTTGTTGATCTGTAGTGTTCAAGACTTGTTTAAAGTTCTGTTAGACCAGCAGATTTACGGTACTTATTACAACTATGATCATTCACAAAGTTCGCAATTGCAATCTTTGATAAGTTACCACTGCAAAATAGCATCTCAGAGTCCTGGTCAAATAGATCAGATGTTGCTATTTCTTGATCATAAAGGGTGTGGTCAGATCCTGGTATGTTGAGAATAATTAATTTCCTGTCAGACTTCTGATAGGAAAAATGAGCCAGGCAGCCTGCTTTTTGGCTAACATCAAACTCCTCAACACATGAAATGCCATCATTGTTTATGTACTTCATTAAGTCTCCACTGACGTATTCTTCAACACTAACATACTGGTTGTCATCTGTGACACCAAAAAATACCTTATTGTACTTAAGAGGAGCTTTATACACACTTGATTCCATTGTTTTCTCAAACTGAATACCAAAATTTCATGCCAGCATGTGCATTTGAACTGTTTTCTTAGTGTGGGACTCCATGCTCTGTTAGCTTCTTCAATATCTTCCTCTGCTTTAGTTAGGTAGTATTTGACAACCAACTTAGAGTAGACCAATTGGGGGTGGGTGGTTGTTGCTTTACGAGCCTCACAGAACGCCCCAATTCTTAGTGGCTCTTCTTCAACAACAAATTCAACAGTAGTGGGAACTACGTTCCAAGCCATTAATTCAATGTTAAAGGAATGTAATGTGATCACAGTTGTGCCTTTTTTGTTCCATTGTGTTTGAGAAATTTCAATCATAAACGTACGTATATATACTAAATATGCTAATCAATCTTTTCAGACTTTTTGCACAAGGCAAACTTGCCTGCACTGACTTTTGGTCAGGCACCCTAGGTGTCAGAGGTGCACGTATCAAATCAAATAAACTGGAGCCATTGCTGCTTGCACTGTTCGTCATAGATCGGGCATGATTTACATGAAAGGCCATGTACCAAAATTAGACCTTGCCATTGTGCAGGTATTGAAATTAGACCTTGCCATTGTGCAGGTATTTACATTGAACCTTGCCATTGCATATAAGTGACAGTCATTGTGCTGTTACATTCAAACAAAAACCTTCCATCTTGTAGGTAAATATACAGCCGAATATAAGACAGCTATTGTTTTATTATTGAAGTAAACATTTGAAACAATATAGGCGTTACAATTCAAGTTTATCGCTCCAGAATTGGCTCACATCACAATTTTACAGATCGCCTAAATGGCAAACATTGGAATCAAATACTATTAATGTTCTACTTTAATGTATTCTATTTGCCTTTTTTGAAAAGTCAATTAAATAAAAGGCAAAAGAACAGTGAATTGTACATGTGGTATGTTCAAATGATATGCTATCACAATGTGTACATGTCATTGTTACTAAGGCTTTCAAATGGAAGAAAATCCAGGCCCTAGGACTATAAATGATATAGTTGATGCTGCCTGTACAGTACATGCTGATTTTAATCAGGGTAATGAATTAATTTTTGGTACAAATGCTGGTAAACAGTGTGTGGCTATGTCATTGTATGCAATTGTTTACAGAGAAATTAAATCGGTTAATATTTGGGATCAGTCAATTCTAAACAGTTTTAATAAGTGGAAACAGTTTGTATGGTGTTATCAACCAAAGTGTAAATAAAAGTTATTTATTGTTAACTGATGTCCCTGAGTTTGTGGATATAGATAATCATACTTTTAAATTTGCAATACAGTGATTCCTTTTCAGGAGCATAATATTTAAGTGAGAATAGTCCCCCATATGTGACCTAGAGCATGCTTTGAATGAAGTATTTTATGCTCTAAACTTTAAAAGCTGTTTGCGTACAATTGGTATGAATACTGTTGCAATTATGATGCCCTTTCCTGATGTATTTAAAGTGTTTGATTCACACTCAAAATATTTATGTGGAAGACCATCAGCATTGGGTTACTGTGTTTTAATATCTGTAGAAGGAATAGAGAATCTTAGACAGTATTTTCAAATAACTTCAAGATCCAGTGAAGAAAATATTGTATTGCCATTTGGGTTAAAGGCATTAATTGTAATATGATACAGTTGTATACAAAAGATGTTACAAATTCAGATATGACTGATTCTACTGAGCTATTTGAACAAGGACGTCAAACTAAACCTGGAAAAATAAGAGCTTATAGTAATTTAGGACGACAAAATAAGACCATTCAACTAAAAGAAGCCATACTTGCACAAAAAATAATGCTAAAAATGCAAAATGACAACATGAAACTATTCATCAAAGGGGAGCTAGACTAACTATAGAGAATAATGCTAAAAAAGCAAGAAGGCAAAATGAAACTGCTCAGCAAAAGAAAGCTAGACTTGCAAAAGTATGTAATGCCACTAAAACAAGAAGACAAAATGAGACCACTCAACAAAGAGAGGCTAGACTTGAGAAAAAGAAGAATGCTGAAAAAGCAAGAAGGCAAAATGAGACTGCTGATCTAAGGCAAGCTAGACTCGCTAAAGATAAAGAAAGGAAGCCGTGCTTTCAAACTTTGGAGCATGGATATTGTTCGATATTTGTTTTTTGAAGCCCAAAAGGGAAAAACTTCACTTGATTCGCATTTTGCAACATTTAAATTTGCACTGAAATCTTGGATGAAAAAAGGGAACGATTTACTAGACAGTGCTAACATCGTTGAAGGAACCACACATATACGAAAATACACATCAACAGATTTAATCAGCCACGTAGCGCAAAAACTTTGGACAGTATAACATCATTTTCAGATTTTACTTTCGTGAAAAGCCCAGGAGAAACCTATAACTCAATTGTTGCTAGATAATTAACTGATAAAGGTACAATTATGAAGGTTTTACCCAAGAAAATTCTAACGTCATGGCCTGGCTATATGACACACTCGTCTTTGTTGACTGGAGTCACCTCAGAATACAATGAAAAACTATCAAAGAATGTCGAACTAAGATACAATACAACAGCACCTAAAAAGGAGAAGTTGTCGGGCATGAAAGAAACCAATAAAGGGATTTTGCAAAGTAATGCAAATAAAACAAATCGATCATCAGGCACCACATGTCCTAAATGCCAAAAGTTTTTTCTACGCAGAGGATGTATGTTAAAACATGCTGCTTCATGCACCCATGCTTGAATGACACTAAACGAAACAAAAACGAAATCTATGCTCATTACAGGGAAACGGCGATGGTTGTCCAATACTGTTGCAAGCATACGGGTCGTTCGTTTCATAAAATTTTTTATACGGATGGTAAAGTGGTTTAGGCATTTCTATTTGTGAGAAGTAAGCAACCATTCGCACCATTGGTATCGAATAGACTCTTAGTTTACGATCCGTAAATAGACTATGTCGATTCGTAAGCGCATTTTGCTGACTAGAACATGAGGCATGGAAACTAGCGTGTGTCTAAGGCGTAAATAGCTGTATCCTCAAATAGACTGTGTCCATTTGTAAATAGGGCAAGTTGTGTCTAAAGGATAAGGCGATGAAGAGATTGTTGATCCGTACCATTGGTATCAAATGAACTGTTGGTTTACGAT